ACTGCTTCCTGAAAATTTACACCCATTCATGGATTCTAAGTAGCCTAATAACGATGTGTTACTTCAATGAGTTATAGAGACACGGTGGAGTAATGTATAGAGTAATAGAAGAACTGAGTTCGAATTCCAGTCAAGTTCGTTACATTTATTTGGAAAAGGTATGCATTTATTAAATTGGAGTAGAGTTTTATTACTTCTAATTTCTATTATTGGGTTTACGGATATTTCTAAAGTTTTTTTTCTTCACTTACACTTCCGGTAGATCTTACGCCTAGGTGGCGTTGGCGCCGTTGTCTGGGGTGAACTTATTAATAAAAATGAAATCTATCTTTTCTGCCACCTCGAGCTATGGGCAAATAGCAGGGTAGACTATGTCTTATAGCATTGGGTGTCAACTGGTCTATGAGAATGACAACTCTCAATTAGAGGCTCCCGCACTGAAATCAATGAGGGAAGTGTCCCTCCATAGGTGCGAGAAAGCTCAGGATTTGGATTTGGATCCCATTAGGATAATACACGGTACAATTCGTATCAATGTTGTCTAAACTCACTTTGTAGAACATTCTGGAAAACTTTTGACAAATGTAAAACGTGTTTAGAGATCTGCGATCTCTTGTATAATCAACGCTACATCAAAACTGCAGCTTTTGACCAGGTTGGATGAAAATGTACACACTGTAACTATCCTATATCTTTTGAGACGTTAGTGTATGCATGAGAATATATATATATATATATATATATATATATATATATATATATATATATAGTGTTAAGTGCTAGAATTACTGGTTCATTTTCCGGGTGGGAAAGCCTTTTTATGCAGACAGGTTTTCGTCAGAAAAGTGCTTGATATCAAAAGTTAGGATTACGGCATTAATAGAATAATTTGGAGAAGTTTATCACTTAGCTGAGTGGTGTTGGGTCAGTCGTGCTTACGATGTCTTCTCTCATCTCTGAGAAGACAGTAATCCCTGAAGGGTGAACATGTTATATTGGTGTGCTCACAGAACTTCGTAGTAGGCATGACTATGACTGGACCAACACCAGTCAGCTAAGTGATAAACTTCTCCAAATAATATATATATATATATATATATATATATATATAGTTTATGAAAAACTAGTTAATCCGTATGTGTAAACCTAAGGAGGATAAAATCCAGAGAGCTCAATGTAAATTTAGAGCAAATAATTTAAATAAAAACAGACCACTTTAAGGTTCCATGTAATAAATTATTTCACCACAGCCCTTTTAAAGGACAGCGAATCATCAGACTTTAATTCCAAACAAAAAGTGAAAAGAAAATTTACACATTTTTGACGGACCGTATCAAATATATGTTTAAGAGTTAAGAGAGGTGTCATTAAATTAGTGACATCTTTTCTTTTAACTTCCTTCCCTCTTTTTCTCTCTATGGGTTTTATCTTCTCTACCCCTTCGATATCAATATATAACTTCCGTTAAGTTAACCGTTTAAATATGTCAGTATCTGCTAACTCACACATGTCTTCTCTCTCCCCCCCACTTCCTCACTTAGTTAATTTACATATGTTTAATAATTTATTACATGGAACCTTAAAGTGGTCTGTTTTTATTTAATATATATATATATATATATATATATATATATATATATATTAAGGCATTAAAAACTAGAAATGCAGTATTGTAGGCCATGATAAGTTTAAAATAAAACACACCAGTCGACCGGTTTCGTCCCCTCTCGTCAGAACTGTTAACGGGGAATTTAGATTATGAGGAAAAGAAAAAAAGAAAAAGTCTGTCATGGGTGACATGAATGAATGGACAGGGAAGGAAAAAAAAAATATATATATATATATTAAAATTATACCAACCAAGCTGCTAGAATCGCAGAACAAAGTCCAAGCAAACAATCTCTGTTTGCAAAGAGCAGGCTGCCTAGACCTGATGTAAAGCGACTCCAGCACCTTAAGATGGAAAAGTGAGTGCGAACTGGCCAAGACGGAAAACCAGTTCACACTGAAATCCATCGCACAAGTTGGATTCTTTATAAAATGATTCTATATAATATGATTATATGCGATTCTAGCAGCTTGGTTGGTATAATTTTAATATATATATATTTTTTTTTTCCTTCCCTGTCCATTCATTCATGTCACCCATGACAGACTTTTTTTTTTTTTTCCTCCTCATAATCTAAATTCCCGTTAACAGTTCTGACGAGAGGGGACGAAACCGGTCGACTGGTGTGTTTTATTTTAAACTTATCATGGCCTACAATACTACATTTCTAGTTTTTAATGCCTTAATACGCTTTTGTACCGTTTCAAACCTATTTAAATATATATATATATATATATATATATATATATATATATATGTGTGTGAAAAGTGAATATAAATATAAATAAATATATATATATGTATAATTATTTATATATTATATGCGCGGTACTTATTAGAAAGCGCTCAATATCAGAGATAGAGCTAACATATTACATATTACATATTACATATTACAGTTACAAAAGATTATATATATATATATATATATATATATATATATATATAATCTTTTGTAACTGTGCATTTGGGGAGAAATCCCTCTTTTATGAAAGTCTCATTAAAAACGACTATCAAGGTTAAGTTTTTTTATAACTTGTCAGTCGTTTTAGTGAAGCTAATGTAAAAGAGGTATTGCTCAAATACACAATTAGTAAATTACATAACCTGGCAGCCAATATGGAATGTAACACTACAATATATATATATATATATATATATATATATATATATATATATATATATATAGCGCGCGCGCGTGTGTGTGCTTGAGTGTGTGTAAGGGAGAGAGAGAGAGAGAGAGAGAGAGAGAGAAGAGACGTTCAATTTTCTTTAAAGATTAGTCACGTTTGTCTGTTCGCTCTTTCTTTGTTTATCAATGATGAATAAAAGGAAAAGATATTCCTATTCAGATACAAACTAGTCAGCCGGTGTTAATCATTTTCCAGATGTGACCAACACAAAAAATTATATAAAATAACAAATTCTTTTGGATTCAATATTGAGATATGGACAGCAAATGTAAACCAGAATTACTGTCTGATCTATTAACAATATATCTTCAAATATGTGTATAACATAGTTATGATTACACATCATCTATCAATTCAAAGCGGATCTTGTGTTGTTTGACAATACTGAATTGGAATCGATGGTTCATAGTCATTCGGCACTTAACATGATATTGATCTTTTCTATTTGTTACCAATTCAGGGAAAAAACACTATTTGTCTGAAACGCATAGTATATACTATGTATATTTTAAAATAGATTCAATGCCTTTAAATCAATTTTTCAGTGCAGTTTTTGTGCTAATCCCACTTAATGCAAATAAGTTCATGAAAATATATAGCGTGCTATTGTCAGAATGCCACATAAATTAAAGGAAATCCGGAAATGAAACATGATTCTTTTAAATACTGAATTTAATCTAAGACAAGCCACGAGAGCCACTCAATAGAGAGTACTACTCTTAAACGATGAGGTGTGTGATATGAATAGAATATTGCGTGGTAGTCAGTGAAGGTTATGAGGAATACGGTAATGGCAGTTTTAACCGTTTCCTTATCAGCCAGGTCCATTTTCTGTTCTTCTCGTTAAATAATTTTTCGTGAAAATAAGTTTCTAAATCCAGGGGCTGTCATCCATCTTTCCAGTACTGATGTGGGGTTTCCTTCCTAATCTTTTGTTTGAAGTAGTGTGGAATGTCAATATTTTGATTATGTTACTGATTTCTCTCCGAGTTCCATGTGCTATCCATTTTTAGTCGTTACTCATGTTAAAATTCCCAGTTGAAGTCGATTCTATTAATTTGGTACATTTAATTTTTTTTGTGATTATGTAGAATCAGTCAACAATGTTAGAAGAAATATGGTCATCGCTGACACCTACTGGATTCATGCGCCAAGGACGTTTTTAAACATTAATCCGAGAAAGCGAATGTATAAAACTGACAGTGTAGATATTTGTGAACGATTTTGGAGCCTTGCATGGCATTCTAATGGAAGTCTCCATCTGACGAAGCTACTTAAGAACATGAGTCGAGGTTTTAGGTTAATGTTGCTATGTAGCAACCTGCAGTATTGGGTGAAACTATCTCCTAGGACAGCATGTTGTATTCAATTAATAAGGATAGACAAGGACTCATATGTGACATGATGAGGTTAATAATACAGTTTTCTGTGAGTATTCTTGCGGGAGTTTGTTTTACAAAGTAGTAGTTCTTGCAAAAAAAAAAATGTATGAGTGAATATTTTTCTTATATTTGGAATAACACATTTCCTCTGATTTTCTTCTTCCATTTAGGATAACAAAGTTATTTACTAAATAATAAATAAAAATGTATTTCTGTACTGAAAAACCGGTATCGACATATTTTCCGTTGTAATATTATCAAAATCAAGTAAAATCTGAAATCTGAACAAAGTCTACAGTAATTCCCGATGTTTACGAACGGGGAAAAATAGTTTATGTCTATTTTCTGATCCCAAATCCAATCCTGAATTCGTAAATCAATGATGCACCATATCAGACGAATATCTGTGATGTGTCTTTTGATCTGTTCATGTCGAAGATGCGGATCAAAAGTAGTAAAAGAAAAGAAGGATCGTCATCTTTGACAGAAAAAAGAAAAATGATGCAAACATTTCATGTGACTATATAAGGTAGAGGAAGACGCCATTTTTAATGATCAGGAGATTATTCATTTTTTCTGGCACGTAACTAAGATGATTGCAACATCCATTTAAATAAAAACTGCGCATAAATTAAGTTATAAAATATGTTTCAAGATATCTGTAATTAACAGTTAGCGGTTTTACTTTCATTAATCTGTCTCTCCAGAGACTCTTTATTCGTCATCACATCAATAATAAATTGAAAAAGAACAAATGCGAAACGGCGGACTAGCAAATAGGAAAAACACCAATAACGTATTGTCAGCAATCAAATGTTAGACGAGTGTCAGAGAGAAAGAATGGAAGAAATTCAAACGCGTTAGAGAGGAAGAAAGACAGAAAGAATTTAAAGAGCTATAGAGAGGAAGAAAGAAAGGAAAAAATTCAGGAGGGTTACAGAGAAAGAAAGATTTCAAGAGAGAGAGAGAGAGAGAGAGAGAGAGAGAGATAGATAGAGGAAGAATTTTAAGAGCATAAGAGAGAAAGGAAGAAAGAATTTCAGAGCTTTAGAGAGAAAGGAAGAATTTCAAGAGCTTTAAGGAGAAAGGAAGAATTTCAAGAGCTTTTGAGAGAAAGGAGAATTTCAAGTGCGTTAAAGGGAAAGAAAGACAGGAAGGAAGAATTTCAAGAGAGAGAAAGAAAAAAGAAAGAAAGAAAGGAAGTATTTCAAGAGTTATATAGAAAGAAAGAAAAAAGAAAAGAGGAAGGAAGTATTTCAATAGTTAGAGAGAGAGAAAGAAAGAAAGAAAGAAAGAAAGAAAGAAAGGATGAATTTCAAAAAGAGTTAGAGAGAAAGAAAGAATTTTAAGTGCGTTACTTAAAAAGAAGAAAAACACGTTTAAGTACATTAGAAGAAGAAGCTTACGCGTATTAGAGAGAAATAAAGAAAATAAGGAGCATTAGAGTGATAGAAAGGGATAAGCTTAATTTAAGGGCATAAGAGAGAGAAAGAGGGGGGAGAGGGAGAGGGGAGAGAGAGGGGGAGAGAGGGGAGAGAGATGGAGAGAGAGGGGGAGAGAGAGAAAGTAAGGAAGCATTTTAAATCATTAGAAGAAAAAGAAGGAAAATACGTTTAAGAGAGTGATAAAGAAAGTTTTAAGTTTAAGAATGTTAGAGAGAAAGAAAAAATCATTTTAAGAGCTTGAGAAGAAAGTGAGAAGTTAGAAATAGAAAGATAGAACTAAAAGGGGAAGCTTAAGCGTATTAGAAAAAAATGAAGGAAAAGTTTAAGCCAATTAGACAGCAATATAGAAAAGAAGGAAGAAGTTTAAACGCACAAGAGAGAAAGATAGAGAAGAAGTTTAAGAGTGTTAAGGGGGGAGAGAGAGATAGAGAGAGAGAGAGAGAAATAAAGAAAGAAAGAAAGAAAGAAAGAAAGAAGTTTAAGAGTGTTAAGGAGAGAGAGAGAGAGAGAGAGAGAGAGAAAGAAAGAAGTTTAAGAGTGTTTGGTTGGTGGATTTTTTTAGCGGTATATAAATTGGTATTACTTAATGCAGAAATCTAAACATTTTCTATACCGTTGCTTTTTTGAGATAATAATGGATTTAGTGATAAAAGTATTATTAATTAACCCACAGCTGGTGGGAGCAGAGGTGGATTTATAACTTTTCCATGATTATTTGTGCGTAAGCAAATATAACGAACCCAACTGGAAATGGAACTCGGCTTTCCGATTAACATTACCGAGCCATTATCCTTTGCACCACCCGCACATCCAAGCTTACAACTCCTGATATTCTCAGCTAGGTATAGGTATTGACCAGGCTCTACATGATCATACGGGAACCGGAGTTTCAACATGATGTGGCCGTAAGCCAATAGTGTTAGCGAGAAAGAAAGACGTTTAAGAAGTGTTAGATAGAGAGAAAGACATTTTAAAATGTTAGATAGAAAGAAAGAAGTTTAAGACCGTAAGTGAGACAGAAAGGGAGAAGTTTAAGACCGTAAGTGAGAAAGAAAGGGAGAAGTTTAAGCGGATTAGAGAAAGGGAAGGAGAAGAAGTTTAGATAGAAACAATCAATGAAAGAATTTTACGAGAGAATTTTCAAAAAACAATATCCTTCTTATATTTCACTGAAAAACGAAGCTACCCCTATGTAAACAATTTAACCCTCCTGGAATTTATGTAGATAGACTGTAAGACCATATTTGACCATGATTGCAAAACAGTTCTTTGTATACGTCTTGCTAAGGAAATGTACGTTCCTTCAATGCTGTCTTATGGCCGAGTCAACCTTACGTACAAACATACAGTAAATCTGCGTTTCGTGTTTGAAATACGTTCCTTGCCTCTATTCGCAAAGTTATTGTGCCAGTTACATCGAGATGTTTACTTGTATAATAATTTCTGTGCCAATGTTGATCCTCATACAGAGGCTCCAATATGCACAGAATGGAACACCAGATGAATTGAGTTCATACAACCCAGGATATGTCGAAGAACTGATATACTATTGTTGACTAGACCAGACGACAGTATTTATCGAACATTCATCTCTGTATTAGGACATAAACTTCTTTTTATGTGTTGAGCCATTGCGTTCAAGATGTAGACAATGGCTCAACAAGATTTTCTATCCATTTATACATTTTACCAATGTTTTTTTTTAACCATGCTATCCTTCTAAATTCCTATTCTACAGTCTATTTTCGTAACCTCGTTGGATGCGTTACACAATGTTTTTCTCTGCTCTTTTTTACCCAAATATGTTCTGTGGCTGTCACATTTTCCAAACCCTCTTTTCTCATTATGTGTACTAGAAATTTCAACTAATATCTTTCTAGTGCTAAGTAAAAGCATCTTTTTTTTGTTCCCGTTTTCCTTAAGACCTTGTTGCTCACATATTCTGTTCATTATGTTTTCTACGTCCTTCTGGAAATAAACTTTGTGAGAAAATTGATCAGCATTCACGGACACATAGGAACATTTATATTACATCGCAGGTCAGCACTTTGTTACTTCTAACGAACTATTCCTTTTTTAGTATTGGAAGCGAATCTCTCGCTATTCTAATGTTACTTTGGATTTCGGTGTCAAGTTATCCGTCGTCTTTTAAAACACTTCCCAACTGCTGTATTTGTTTGATTCTGATGTCTTCAATTCATAGTTAACGTATTGGCCTGTGGCTCTTTGCTAATGGCCATACATTGTGTTCTCTTAAAATTGATAGCTTCCGGTCATATCACGGCGAAACACTGGTTTGGTATGATCACCGAAGTTACGCAACGTCGAGCAGAATCTTGATTCAGGTGCTATAATCTTGGATGTTCGCGGGGTGTAGTGGATAAAGAATTGGAAATTGGAGAGCCGAGCTTGATTTACATTCGGTTTCGTTAAATTTACTTACATGCAAATAACCTTGTGGTGGGTATGAATAAACCACGCCTATCTGCAGCTATGTGTTAATTAGTAGGACTTTTATTAGTAATTCATTATTATCTTTAAATAATTCTTACTATCTAAAATTATCTTCTGACTTTAAATAACATTCAAAAGTTTGATGAACCGTAAAGAATCGAATCAGTCAATCAAACCTGAATTAATAGTTAGCAATTTATTCTCGCTTAATATATCACCTTGTATCTGAGTTCCTGCATATTTCTTTCTTTGTCTGCCATAAAAATAATCTAATTTGCATATTGTATATATATCGTTAAGACAATGCCTGGCGATAATTGATTTTTTTTTATTTGTATATTTAACGGCATATAAACTCCTTATGGGTCATTTAGTACAGAAATATAATTTTCTAGCGAGCTTTGAAGTAATAAAAATCTGATGTTATTTCACTTTCGCAACTGAATACATCGAAAATGATACTCATCTTCTGTGCATATACATGTTTGTATGGAGATAATTACAAAAGACGGTTGTTTATGTTGTAGTTTTGTTGAAGTTATATTTTGGAATACAGTTTGATTTCTTTAAGAAATTATAGGACATTATATGGATTAATGTCATGAAAGATTTCTTTCATGTTGCTTGTTCGATTTTGTTTAGCAACATATAAACCTCCAGGGGTCATTCAATACTGAAATATAAATAATTTGAAGAAATTTTATGTTATCAACCTGTAGCATACCTACGGACGATTATGGGTATAGTCACATAAATACAGTAGTAAATACTGTATGTTAGTCTGCAACTGCAGATTCGTCTCCAGCTGTACTGTTCAAACTCTCTGCCTCCTGGCAGAAACGAATCCCCAAACGAGGCTGTGTCGAAGGGCAGTCTCGTCTCGGGAAACATCTTCCCGACCCCGTTTTATACGGGGAATTTTTGGCCTTCTGAGTGTTGACTTAAATGTTCACTTTTATATTTATATTTACATACGCTCTATCACTCGGATACTACGCATTAAATTCTGCCTTGTGCCACATTTGACCACGTGGGGTGGTTGATAGATATCCTGCAATTGGAGATTCGTCTCCAGCTGTTCTGGTCAAACTCTCTGCCTCCGGGCAGATAGGATTCTCAGACGAGGCTATGTCAAAGGGTAGAGTCTCAGCTCGCGAAGCAGCTACCCGACTCCGTTTTATACGGGGTCTTCGTGGAATTTTAAAAATTAAATTCGACCTTGTGTCAGATCTTACCGTGGAGGGCAGTTTGCAGATATTCTATAGTTGGAGATTCATTGTGGTAGTCACTTGACTCACTTCTAGTAGTTGACTACTTCTACGCGCCGCTGGCGAATCATATACGTGATGCCCTTGTCCTAAGTATTATTGCCCATTACCAGCCTTCTTGTGATTATTCTATTCAGTAACCTTCCCTAGGTTACAACACAACTAAATATATTTTGAACGCAATTGTATGCCCTAAACTGTCGATAAAAGTATTGCTGTTTATATTCCTTTAAAGATGTATCTTTACTAATTCTTCTTTTACATAAAAGTATAGTGCTGGTATTTTTATTATAGAAATATATATATATATATATATATATATATATATATATATATATATATATATATATTCATTGTGTTTTGTTTGTGGATTCAGTATTTTTCCATAGCTGGGACCCTAACAGGTGCTACCACTCTGAGTGAAAAGTGGACAAGGGAACATCAGCAATTAAGAGGTGTTTGTCTGGCTATAATACATCTTGGTAGAATATCTAGTTCTCTTAGGAGTGTCTCGCTGTAAATATTCAATAAATCCGGTTAGAAGACGTATCTTTGTCATACGCCCTCTTTCTATTTGTTTTTGTATTCGCTGTATTTTTTTCTATTGTCTTCTATTCAAACACAGGCAACCTGTTGCCAGTAAAAATCCATGGGCGCAATACCAATTATATAAAATTTATATATAAATCTCTTAAATTATTAAATATTACCATTACAATATCATGAGAGCATTACTATGAGAGATTAAGAAAGACAGTGATGTTTCACCCACATGCAAACGCATAATGCTTTGAATACCATTCCCAAGGACAGAAAAGTTAAGAAAGACATGTTTCTTTTCTTTTAAAGGTTACAATCGGAATATTAACGTTAGTCAATGGCCTTGTTATTATAGATTTCAAGATATTTTTAGAATGATAAATATCGAAGTGAGCTGACATAGACGCAGTTTTCTTTTTGAAGATAATCTTAAAATCATCCAGCTTCATGCAAACCGAATAATATTTTTAAATTCTTGTAATAAGGTAAAAAAATCTATATATCTGTATTAATAAATATATGGAAAATAATAAAAATATATACAGAGTGCGGCGGAAATAGCTCGCACATTTTAAAGGTTGACAAAAAGACGACAATAACTGCTATTAAAAGAACTATTTTATTGTTCTTTAAACAAAGGGCTGCAGGTCTTTACTCATTTGGCTTTGAAAATGACATCGTCCACATCCTCCTATATTCACCATACAATGTTTTTGACGATTTCTAAAGTTTTCTATCGCCTATCGAGCGCTTCGAGGTTTTTTAGGTGATTTTATTTCAAGCGCTGAAACTTTGGCCTTGAAATTTTAAACCAATATAAGTATCGATTTTCTATCCGACGTAAGATGAAAAGATCATTAAAGGCACTATCTGTTGCAATTACAGATTCACCAGTCTTACAAAAAAACCGTTGATACAGAAAACGCATGATGGTAACTGAAGGTATTTAAAGAAACGGCAAGATTGATGGTGAAGCCATTATCACTTCTCTAAGTTCACTAGCACTACACATGTGAGAGTTAAACATTTTCGATGTATTTTTGCCGCATACTGTACTTTCATGCTGCTGCTAAATCTACGAGAGTAAATATTGTATATATTAGTTTGAGTCATATATAATTTCTTCTTACCAATATTATTCTTCAGAAAGTAAAATGCAATTACATTTTATTTCATTACGTATTCACTATTATTTGCAATTACTTATTTGGAAATAATCCACTATTATTTGTAATGAATTCTTTGGAAATAATCCACTATTATTTGTAATGACTTCTTTGGAAATAATCCACTATTATTTCTATTGACTTATTTGGAAATAATCCACTATTATTTCTAATTACTTAACAAGGAACATATTTGTTTAAGGTTACTTAGGTTTTGATGCGAAAAAATATTCGACTGATTCTTGAATCTAGTTTTCATTAGATAGCAATCGAAAAAAATAATCGGTTGGTGTAAGTTCAGGGGAATGTCGCAGTCAAGTTCCAAAATATTTTTCTAATATTCTTACTCTATGCACACTTGTGATGTCATGCAGGAGAGCCACGTTTTTTCCTTAATCCATGCAAAAGCTAAGGTCGGCTCATGATCTCCAAATTTATTCTTAACTGCCACGTATGATTAGTAGTTAGGATGATACATTCGTCATTGGTCGTAAAAAAACGGGAATTACTTATGACTCAACCTAATATATAATAAAGAAAAGATAAGCGTGGAGTGCCATGTTCACCTACAAACTGAACGGGTATCATGACACTATAAAATGCTTAAAAGAAAAATGAATTGTGATTAAATTCGGTATCTGAAACTAAGTCAAGGATTATAAAAATCTACAGTAAAATACCTGATGATTCGCGGGGAGAGACACCGAATATATATTAAGTAAGTACAAAAATGATTCGGGATAGTGGACGAGTCCAGAATAACCTATCCCATCTAAATAATCTTAAAATAGTCACAAACACTTCTAAAACCATTATAGATATACTAAGATCTTCAAACAATAATAGCACTAATATTTCTGAAGCAGGCATTTATAAAATAAATTACCAAACTTGTTCCTCACAATATCTTGGAGAAACAAGTAGAAATTTAAAAAAAAAAAAAAAAAAAAAATTGCATTTGTAAGCACAAAAGAGGCCCCCAAAACAACATAGCTAATGCATTAGTCATACATAGAAATAAATTCAACCACAACTTTGATTTTAAAAACGCTACACTCATAAAAAATGAAAATAACTCACTCAGAAGGAAAATCCTCGAGAGTGCCGCCATTGAATATTACCCAAATATTAATCTACGCCCAAACAAACGTACACAACTGTATTGTGAAATCAAAAGAAAATAGTTGAATCCGTCAACACAGCAATAATAACAATATCTCCACACGTAACAGTAATTGACATAATTTTCAGTTAACAGTATGAAAATAGCGTTCTCTAAATTCTTCCAGTTGATAAGGACATTTTGTTTTTGTTATTATTATTTACTTTGTTTAAATAAATCCATTTCGTTTTTTGCCTTGACGAAGTCCACATTGGCCGAAACTCGTCGGCAACTATTACAGTTTTCCTGTTGTCATTTGTATTTATAAATATTGTCTTTTTCTACATGTTAACCCTGAGAAATTTTTCATATATATATATATATATATATATATATATATATGTATCAAAAATTTCTCATATATATTCTCTTGAAAGAACAAAAACAATACATTCAATTATGTATTTAGGTGGCATTTATATAGTTTGTGGTATATATTGCCCAAAGAGGAGAGCGGAGAGAGACGGATTGAAAAGAGGTACTTACCTATATAGGAATATTCACATATTAGTAACTGTAGAAAAATCACGTGGTAGAGATAAACACTTAGTTGTGGAGCAAGCTAAGTGAACAATAATCCAACCTTTAGAAAGAGAGCTATTTATGTTGCCATAGAGCATCTCATTGTGCTAAAGTGGGATAGTCCATTGCTTGGGCTGTGATTGGCTGCTGGTACCTGAGTGGAGGTATTTCTATATAAATACCAACTTGATTCAGCTGTTAGTTTGCAGGGTTTGTATTAAGTTACAACCTGCTTTATTTTTTTGTCTGCCAGCTGGACGCTAGCTGGGACCTTTACACCGGTAAGTGCTGTTTATTATTGTTATTCACATCTCCTTCCCCCCATCGCGTGTGGGTAGTGGCCTTTGGGGAGAGATGAGTTCCTTTAAACCTGGCTGGTTGTGCGGAAGTAGTCTGGACAATGCCCGAGGGGTTTTTGTCCGTGTTATTGTAGACGACTGAGCAGTGTTCGACGTTATTCCAGCGTCGAATGTTTGTGGCACTGGTGTAGGGTTCTCAGGTAAGGCACTAGGTCTTGGAACTGGAATTGTAGGTGTATCCAGTTTCCTGAGGAATCGGCGATTTCGTAAGGTAATTCTACCTGATCCATCAACTCTGATACGGTATTGGTGGTTGGGGAGGGTTTCAATGACCTGACCTGTTGTGTCCCATCGGCGGGTTGTTGGTCATTGAAACCCTCCCCAACCACCAATACCGTATCAGCACCGGTAAGTGCTGTTTATTATTGTTATTCTACAGTAACGATGTATTTTTAACATGTAGACCACAAGCCACATACAGGCCACATATGTACAGTATTACGTATCACGCTATTAAACCGCCTGAAGATTGTGAAACCATCGTATAACAAACATAGCGTAAAAGTAGCAATATTTGACGATCGTTTTCCCTTTTTTTATACATTTCTTATATATGTGCGAATATATTTCTCATATATGTGCAGATACATATATAGATATATACGACATATATATATATATATATATATATATATATATATATATATCGGCACACATACATGCATCATCCTTGTAGCTCACGTATTCTATTTACGTTATTCTCTGTTGATTCAAGTTTCTTCTTCAGCTGCGAGGAGATTGTGCGTATTGCTTCTGTTTAATATAACGCAATATGTGACAAGTTAATGCAGATTTTTAATTTTTTTTGCAGTATTTGATAGATCTAATTCCGTGGTTTTAAAACGATCATAATGCATTTATAATATCGATTTAAACCAGATTTTTCAGATGGCACTTAAAATATCCATATTTCTTTGTCACGATTATTACAAGTGGGAGTAATGCTTAACGGCTCGGATTGAGGAATCGAAGAGCCGAGTTCGAATTCCAGTCGAGTTCATTGCATTCACTTACGTGTGAAAATGGAATAGATATGAATTCATCTCTTCCTACAGCTATGGGTAAATAGTAGATTAGGCCTTCTAGCCATGGTTAACCAGTGTAGGAGAAGGAAAACTCTGAATTCAAACGACCTCCCGCCTCTTTAGTCAAAGGTTAGAAGAAGGTAACTAAAAAAAAACAAAAAAACAAAAACAAAACAAAACAAAAAAACAAAAACAAAACAAACTATCTACCTCGAATCTCGAAGAAAGTATCTGTCTCCCCACTAGCTTACTGAGTACCGCGACAAAATAATGGACTCTTCGGGTTTAGGATAATGGTTCAAACAAAGAGAAAACTGAGATACGGCACAGCGCTGTGGGCCTCTGATTTCATACAAGTTGACCAATATCTTCGTTATCCGTGAACGTAATCGAACTTGATTCACTGTCAAGATCGTGTTCTGCGGCAAATAACACTCTCTTACCGACAAGCATGTTTTGTTTTAATGAGAGAAAAATGTGGTTTTGTCTACATGGATTTATCCTAAAATACTTTAATAAAATGGAATGTCGCTGATAAATGTACTGGGAACAATAAAAATATCTTTCCTGTCTTATGGCATTTCACCTCAATAAATTCTTTGACGAAGGGACAGAGCACATAGAAAATTCTATGTAACCATAACGCCGTATGATTGCATATTATTACTCCCATTTTCCCGTGTCAGCCATGGACTTATTAATGTCTCCGATTATCTTACACATAAATCTTGGTCAAACTTTATGAGGACGAACAACTCGCTAATGATCCTTCACATCACCACCCATCTTGAATGATGTTTTTATTATTATGGACACTCAGCACATTTGAATTCTTTTTCCATCTTCTATTACTAACAATTAAATGTCTCAAATCAATATGTCTTTGCGTAGTGGAACAAGTTCAAGACAATTGCTGTACGAATAATAAGATGCTTCGAGAGTATTTTGTAAAAGTACGTCCAAAGGTGCTTTTATTAATTGGTAAATAGATTTGATTTTTACGGCTTACC